CAACTATACTTAATTTTTTTTTTTATGTATATTATGTAAAGAAAAGCATACATAAGTTTGGTTTGCCATTTTAATAATTTACTTTCTTTTTTTTTTTTTTTTTCTTCTTCATATAGTTTTCATCTTTTTTTTTACACAGCTCGTGGGGAGAAAAGTTGGAATAGCAAACGAATTGAAATCAGTTCTAAACATATTATTAATATGTATATCAAATAAATTACAAAAAAAAGTACAATGAATACCAAAATCAGAACAAAACGTTTCGTCGTAGTATTATAAACTCAAAATCGTTTCAATTATGTAATGCAATCGCAATATGATTTGAATATTTTGTAGTCAAGTGTAAATTCATTTGATGAATTTTGCACTTGTAGGCGAGTTTAAACAAGGATTAGGTTTAAAGCTCGCAATTGTGGAATATGGGTGGAAATCGGTATAAAACTTGATATTTTACTTGAGTTCCGATTCACTCAAGCGTATGAATAAATATTTCATATTTAAGGGGTAAGGAGGATAAATTGCATTATGATAAAGCATATTAATAAGATATTTCCCCAACATTCTTGGGCGATGCATAATAACGATTTTTTGTTTGTATATAAACGAAACGTTTTTTTTTTTGTGTGTGTGTGTGTGTTGTTGTTGATCATTATTATAAACTAATGCCTGGGTTAGTTGTTGTTGCTGTTGGTGCTTAGACCTCATCGTTCTGATTCATTTTGAGCTCATTGAGTGTCGCATTGAATCGCGACCATTCATCGCGCGATGGCAACGCCAAGTGCTCAGCCACATCGTAGACATAGAGCTTGCCAGCCTCGTCCCCGATGGTGACGTGGAGGCCCGATGGCGTCCAGGAGACGCGATTGAGCGCTGGCGCACCATCGACGACGATTGATGCTGTTGGTACTTCGGTATCCTGATTGAGATTCCATAAATCAAGGCGACCGCTACCATCGACAGCAGCAAATAAAGCGGGATGAACGGGCGACCAGGCGACATCCATCACATAATCCGAATTATCCTCAAATGAATACAAAGGTTTTGTGTCCTGCAAAATATATGAGATGAGTGCTTGAAGACAACGCTCTCCTTCTCTCTCTCTCTGCCTTTCTTCCTGCCTTTCTCTATTTACCTTCAGCGACCACAGCTTGATCGTCCAATCGATTGATGAGGTCAAAAACAGATGCCCAAAATCGGGCGATGATTGATTATAATGTGTGGAGATGCCCGTTATGGGACCCAAATGTCTTTCAAACACCTCATTGACGCCCGAGCGCAATCCGTGCCTAGATGCCGAATAGACATAGCCATCCTCACTGCCCATGACCAGGCTGTTGATCTCGTTGGCCGGGAAGGCCATGCATGTGATTGCGATCGCCTTTGACTGGCGCTGCTGCAGCTCCAGCGTATCCTGCGGCTGCGATAACATATCCAAGGACCACGAACACAATTTGCCATCCGATGATATGGAGATGACATTGTGAGCATTTTGTGTGCCAACCATTTGCAGACAGTAAACAGGATGTGTGTGGGCAGCTGCACTCAAGGGTGTACGCTGTATGGGCGTACGTTTCTGCACACGATTATCCCAGAGCACAATCTGACCGGAATATGTGCCGCCGAGAATTAGATTGGGATTGAATTTGGCAAAGCAGGTGGACATCACGGCGCTCTGACAATGGAAAACATCTTCGGGCGTTTGCTTCTTGAACTTTGTGTTCCAGACCATAACGACACCGTCCGGCTCGTTGGGACTCTCCTCGTTGTTGTGATAGGAGGCAACAACCAGTTCCGGAAAGTGGGTGGACCAATCCATGCTGGTGATGCAGCGATTCTTGGACCAGCGCTCATCGTAAAAGACACGATTCAGCGAGAGACGAGCATGCGACCGTTCATCGTTGGCCTCCTCATTGTCGCCGCAGCCAATATAATCGGTGTATATGTCCACATTCTCCGAGAGAGCACGCTCTATGATACGACCTGCACGCAATACGAACCTTTGAAAATCCTCCGATAAGATGATCATTTGCTTTTGCTCCTCCGATAGTTCCTTGACTGCAAATAATCGATATGAATTTTCAAAAAATAACAACTGCTGCCATCGGCAACAAGACAAGCTTTCAATTTGGAGATGACCGCGCCAAAGAAGACTTCCTTCAGTTGACGATACTTATAAAGTCTGACGCACATCTCCAATTGTTGATCCACTCGTTGTTGTTGTTACTCACCCTCCTTCTTCTCTTCCTGTTCCTTCTTCTGTTCGAGGGGTGTTATGGCTGGAGCCACATCCTTCACCGTGGGCAGACCGTGAGTGAGGTAGCCAGGTGGCAGCTTGGAACTAAAGCCATGATCCAGATGTGGCAGCGAGCTCTCTTCGTCATCTCCTTGGGCATCAAATGCAAGCACTGTTTAATGTATAAAACTAACACAGCTAAAGGAACATGACAATCGACAGAACAGGAACAATTCTACTTGTATTTTGGATTGTTTCGTTTTCTTGATCTCGTTTTTGGTGTTATTCAGCTGCTTTTCAGATCTTTTCATTTTTTTTACATTAATTTGCATTGTTGTCTCTGTCTTGCTTGCAAAATTTGTTGTTTCTCTTCAACTTCATTTGAATATATTTGTTTTGGCTTTATTACAGGGCTTCTGTGTGTTAGTGTGTGTGTGTGTGTTGTGAGATTGTGAAATTGGGAGTAGAGCGAAGGGAGAAACGTTTAAGAGAGCGCACAATTGGAATTCTTCTGCATGTGCTGATCGCCTCCACACAGCTGTGTGTGTGAGTGGGCAAGAGCGAGGAGGACGTAGGGAGCTCCCCAAGTGCATGACGGAGCGAGAGAGAGAAAGATAAACAGACAACACGCACACACGCAGGCGCTCTCGCTTTTACTTGTGTTAATGAAGGAGTAAAACAGTTTTTTTTTTTACACAAGTACAAAATTGTACAAGAGATGTGCGTGAGTGCGTACATATGTGTGTGTATGTTGTGTATAGATGCTGTTAGTTGTGCTATACGCTGGACACCGTACAACTTAATACACAAAGCCAATTAATAAAAAATAAATAAAAATATATGAATAATTGAAAAAATGTACAATTTCCGTTAAACTGATACGCCGTTAATATATATGTATGTATGTGTGTATGTATA